TGAGGAATCGTTTACTTAAGAAAATAAATGCAGAACACTTATGGTTATAAAGCTGATTCCTCTGACTATTTGTCAAGATCAGTAGTTAATAATAAGCTTGAAAAAGTGAATGTAGAACACTTTTGAATATAAAGCTGATTCCTATGACTATTTGTCAAGAACAGTAGTTAATCATAAGCTTCAAAAAGTAAATGCAGAACACTTATTGTCATAAAGCTGATTCCTCTAACTAAATATTTGTCAAGATTAATAATTACTAACAAGCTTGAAAAAGTGAATATAGAACACTTTAATTGTAAAAGCTGATTTCTCTGACTGTTTGTCAAGATCAGTAGTTACTAATAAGCTTGAAAAGTAAATGTTTAACTTTTCTGGTCATAGAGCCAATTTTTCTGACTCTTTGTCAATATCAGTGGTTACTTAATGATAAGTTTGAAAAAGTGAATGCATAACACTTTATTGATGAAACTGATTCCTTTGACAGTTTGCCAAGATTACTGGTTAATAAATCTGATAAAGCAAAATCAGATGACCAACCAATCCAAGAAAGTAGCTAACTGTTAACCCACAAACTTATCAAACTATATAATGAATGATTATAGTAAATTTGTGGTTAAAACAGATCTGCCAAATGATATTCATTCAGTTTCTACTATAATCACGATTCCCAAAGTAGTTAAATTAAAATCCTCCAGTGAATTGCATCCAATAAATTTGTTTTGCACTATTGACAAAATTTTGGAGAAAATTATGTAACTTGTTGAGTTTATAGGTAGATAGAAATAAACTATTCAGTGATTTTTAATCAGGGTTTCGAGTAAGTCAATATTAGTAGTTAATAGTGATTATGAAAAAGTGAATGTAAAACACTTTGATGATGAAGCTGTTTCCTCTGATTGTTTGTCAAGATCAGTACTTATTAATAAACTGAACTGAACTGAACTGAAAAAGTGTCAAAAATGAATGTAACACTTTGGTAATTAGCCTATCCAAAACACGTGACTTTGACAAGCAAACCAAGGGTTTGTGTTCCTCTTGGCGGACATTTTAATTTGAGTTCGACAGCATCTTGGATAGTCTAATAAAACCTTTCCCCTGAAAGTGCCAGTTTGTCAAGATCAGTGGTTTAATTATTAAATCTGATATAGCTAAATTAGATGAGTAACAATCCAGGAAAGTAGGTAAATGTTAACCCTAATAAACTCATTAAACTAAATAATGAGTATAGTAAATCTGTGATTAAAACAGATCTGCCAAATGATATTGATTCTTTCATTATTGGTAAATAAAACGTGGTCGTTAGTATCAAGACACGAATATAAAAATATAGTGGATTGTAAATGGATATTTTCCATTGAAAATGATGAAATTGGAAAACCATTTAGATACAAAGCTTACTTAGTTGTTCGTGGTTTCAGTCAACATTACTTGGTAGATTATAATGAAACCTTTGCACAGGTGGCGAGAATCGTAGGTTTCTAGTTTCTAGTGCAATATGTAAAATTATTTATGTAGTTCTGTAGATGGTATTTGCCACTGCAGAATAATACATTTAATAGTTTAAAAAGGGATTTGGCAAATAACTGTTCTATGTTTTATTTGAAAGACAGTAAACTATTTTTGAGTAATAAAATTGAAAGGTAATCAAAAATAAAATTACTCAAAGTCAAAGTCAAAGTCAAAAATAGCTTTATTGTCTTAAAACAAAATGTTGCTGACAAAGCCGTACTAAAATAAAGTCTAAAACTAACACTAAAATTAAAAATTAAAACATTACTCAGTTAAAACAGAGAATAAAAGAACAAAAAACAGAAAAAAAGTTTTCACCAACGCATAAAACACAGAGAAAAATATAAAATCTCGTACAATACGCAACGCAACAATATAGAAAAAAAAAAAAAAAAAAAGTAATAAAAGTAATAGTAAAAAAAAATAAAAGTAATAGTAAAAGTAATAACATTCACTTTTCTTACATATAAAAGTTGACTCATTACAAAAGAAACGATACCAAACATACATTGCCACTCGCTGTCAAAAACAAAGGTCCAATATTCCTCAACCAGTTACTATCCTTTCATTAAAATATTCTTCGAGACTATAGTATGCTTTATCAACCAAAAAAGCCTTAACCTGTTTCCTAAAACTTTTGTAGCATCCAAGCTTTCTTATTTCAATTGGAAGATGATTGAATAGTTTTTTACCTTCATATATAAATGATTTTTTTACCAGTTGGGAATGAGGTATGGGCAAGCCGAGAAGAAACGACTGACGAGTATTATAGTGTTTGTCCGCCTCCCTCTCAGCCCCGTATTTCCTGAACATCATGCACACCGTTTCCATTATAAACATTGAATAAAGCGTAAGGATAGCATGACTGATAAAAAGAGGGCGACAGGAATCATGAGTCCTCACTCTGAATATACAACGAACTGCCCTCTTCTGAAGCAGAAACACTGAATCAAAAAGTGAACGGGTGCAGCAACCCCAAAAGCTTAAGCCATATCGTAGGTGAGATTCCACCAAAGCGTAGTATGCATTCTTAGCAACCGAGACATCCAAACTCCTCGATATCACTCTTAAGGCATAACATCCCGAAGCGAAGAAACCCTTTTACGGAGATTAGAAATGTGATCGTCAAACTTGAGAGACTTATCAATTGTGAGGCCCGAGAATTTGTTGTGGTTTTGTGGAGTTACAGGATTATCCTCCAGGTAAACACTCTCCAGTTCACATTTGAAGTTTAAAACATTGGTTTTCGAAACATTAAAAGACAATAAATTGGAGTCGCACCAGTCCTTCACCATCCTCAAATCTGCATTTATGTCATTATTGAGTTTTTCCACATCTGAGCCGTGCCACAAAATTGTCGTATCGTCCGCAAAAAGAGTAAACTTTCCTGAAATTGGGAGTTGGGGCAAATCGTTGACATAAATCAGAAAAAGAATGGGTCCCAGCACACATCCCTGTGGGATTCCAACATTGATGTTCATGCGTTCTGACTCACCATCCTGAAATCTTACGGTCTGCGATCTACCCGACAAGTAGGAGCGAAACCACCTCAAAGCACCACCCCGAAAACCATACCGCTCAAGCTTCCACAGTAGTATCTCGTGATTCACACAGTCAAACGCCTTGGAGAGGTCACAAAAGACTGCCGAGGCTACCTCTCCACCATTCAACTGCTTATAGAGTAGCTCAAGGAAACTGAAAATGGCATCGCCAGTGCCAATCCCCTCTCGAAAACCGAACTGTTGGGCGCTCAGGAGTCCAAGTCCACCGAGAAAGGCTAACATCCTTCTCTTCACAAGCTTTTCTACTATTTTAGCCATGATAGGTATAGCAGCGTTATTGGACGGAAGTTTGACGGTGTGTCGTGGTCTCCACCCTTATGCAAGGGAATAACCACAGCTTGTTTGAGACACACAGGAAATCGCCCGACAGAAACGAACTATTTATAGCTCTTGTGAAAGCTCGCAAGGCTCCATCAGGCAAAAAAGACACAACCCTCAAAGAAAGATTATCCCAACCCGATGTATTCTTATTTTTAATCTCGTAAATAATTTCCTTAATCTCTTGTACCGATGTTGGGGATAAAAGGAATGTCTCAGCTACCACAATGTGCTCTAGATAGGCCCTAGGATCAAGCGGCTGATGAATACTAGCGGCTAGATTGGATGCAATGTTACAGTAAAAGTGGTTAAGATCATTAGCCTTTAACTTGCTCATAACTACCTTTTTATTATTATTCTTCCCCAATAAGTCACTAACAATCTTCCACGATTCTTTGGATGTGTTGGAGGAATTTTTGATTCTATCACGGTAATACATGTCTTTAGCCTGTCTTATGGAGTTTCGGTAAATTTGGCGATACCTATAAAAATACTGAGTGAAGTCTTGGTTGTTCATGGAATATTTTCTTATGTAGTGAAGAGAACGCATATTTTTCACAGAGATACGCAATCCTTGGGTATACCAAGGTTTACGTTTTCTTTTTTTAAAATTAACAATTGGAAAGGATGTATTAAAATTGTTATGAACAATAGCGTGGAGCGTTACCAATGAGTCGTCTGTGGCAAGAACACCATTCCAGTCAGACCGTGCACACAACAGTTTGAACCTTTCAAAGTTCCTTGCTGTATACAGCCTACCCCGTCTTATTTTATGCTCAGCGTGTACTCCAAACGGGATACAACAGTGTACAGCCTCATGGTCAGACAACCCAGCATTAGTGTTATTACACGCCACCAAGTCTGCATCAATGTTGGAGCATATATAATCCAGGACAGATGATGACAACGCTGTACGTCTGGTTGGCTGATCGACATGCATACATAAGTTAAAAGAATCCAACAAGTTACACAGCAACTGATTATATCTATTGTCCCTGTCAAAAAAATTTATATTCAAATCACCAGACAAAACTATGTTAGCGTTAAGTGGAATTTCAATCAAAAGAGATTCTAGTTTATTAATGAATTATTCAATATTCCCAGAAGGAGATCTATAAATCCCCAACACATACAAGTTAAAACGACTACAATACACAACAGAAACTTCAAAAACTCTCTCTTCTAAAAGATGATCAAATCTCTCAATTGAAGTAAACTCAAACCTGCTGAGAAAGTCATTCTGCATCATAATCAACACTCCACCATGTGCATAAGAATAGTTCGACAACAGTGAATAATTCTCAAATCCAAGAGGTTCATCACATCTAAGCCAGTGTTCCACCAAAACAACGATGTCCGGAAAATTCAAAGACTCCAAAAATAACACCAATTCATCAACCTTATTTCTAACAGACTGGATATTAAGTAACACTAGAGCAAGGCTTCCTTGAGCTGAAGTTGCTCTAAAAAAGGAGGGGTGCGTCCCTGTGCATTTGACCGCGAGTCACAAATTTCTGTTATGTCTATAATTTCCTTCTCAATATTTTTCTTGTGTAAATTTTTATTTATAAAATCTAAGACCTTTTTACGTATTGCTTGACCTATCCTTACCTTGCCTCTATATTTAATATATAAATTATTATTATTATAATTAAAGTAAATGTCTTTATTTCCTATAAAGGCATTGAAATGCAGAAAGCAATTACTCATGTCTCCATTACATAACCTGTTGGACATCATTTTATTGTACTCATTGATAAAGTTATTGACTAATGTGTTATTTTTCCATAGGGGAACAGAACAAATTATAACATTTGTGTATTTACCAACTGATTTAATAGTCTGTATAGTTTTTTCTTCAATATGTCTTCCCTTCACTAAGTTTGTCACACCAGCCATTAAAATCACATAGTCTTTTTTGTCAAAATGACGTGTATAATTAAAAACCTCTTTCACAACGTCATCAAGTAACGCATTCTCTTTAATTAAGGCCGAAACGTGATACTCTTTTCCCATACATCGCTCCACAATATCCCTGAAACCTTTCGCCAAACCATCACCCAAGATGAATATATTATTCTTAGGGGGAGTAACTACGTCGCCTTTCTCTTTTGCATTTTGGCTTCCCGCATTCATTTGTTCAGCATGGACTTCTCTGCAGCTCTTTAAATGAAATACTTCACCACGCAGTCGCTTAGTTTCCCTTGCAGCCATATCATTTTCTTTCTCCAAGACTTCACAGGAAACCCTCAAATTGTTGTTCAGAGCTGTTAACTCTTCCAAGTTTTCCTTCGTCTTCTGCAAAAGGTCCTGAAGGTGGGTATTCCGTTCTGCTACCTGTATGATTTCCGCCTTTAGTGTAGATACGACTTCCTGATATTTTTTTATTTCATCGGAGTGTTCTCTTTCATAGTTCAGAATATCATCCTCAAAAACCTGTGAGTTCCTTCGGAGTCTGCCTATATATTTATCCTTTTCATGGATCTCTTCGGTTAATTTTTTTTATCTCTTCTTGAAGTTGTTTTTCCCTTTCTTGAGCATCCGTTTCGAGACATTGACATTCATCAGAACAATAGATCTTTTGTTTTCCCAGTTTTATTCCTCCTCTCCAGTCCCTATCAAAGCAGCTTTGATGGAACATCCTTGAGCAACCAATACATATCAAGTTCTGTTGATTTTTTCCACAACATCTAAATTTTTCCATATCCCACCTCTTGACAATTGTTGATAAATTAAAAATCAAAATTTGAATGGGAATTCAACCCACTTGCCACTAGGTACCGACCTGTACCGGCTCTTGATCAATTTTCATATAGGTATAGTTCCAATGTACATGAAAACTATTTTACATAAATTTAATATGAATGACTGTTGTGCCATCAGCTGTGTCAGCACTCCACTTCCTAGTAAACTGAATTTGATTGGTTTAAATTCAGAAGAAAAACATGATAGCCCTTGCCGGAATCTAATCGTTTGTTTAATGTATATTATGTTATGTATATCAAGCCTGATTTAAGTACCACTGTTAATATTTTGAGCAGGTATTAAAACAAGAATAATAAAGAGTTTTGGCAATATTTGAAAAGGGTCCTTAGATATCTTAAGGGTAAAATCAATGTGAAGTTGACACAATATTTTAGTTGTGAATATATTAATTTCTTGAGTGATTCTATTAATCCTGACTAAGAAGGTGGAGATGCATGATATAAACAATATAAAAGGCACAACAGGATATTTATTTAAACTGTTTGAAATTTGTGTGATATGTTGGAATACAAAAAGGTACTTGTCAGTAGCGGCATCATCTACTGAAGCCGAATATATGGTTTCCCTCTTAAAGCTGTCATAGAAGCTCTTTGGTTAAAATCATTAGCAGAAAATATGCATAAACATTAATATGACCTAGGAGGACAACAATGGACTTCAATAAGTATTACAAATAATCCAACAAATCACAAAAGATCAAATCATAATGAATTGATGGTAATTAATGTAAAATATTAATTTGTCCACAGATAAACCACTAGCAGACATGTTTACCAAACCATTGGTGCAAGGGAAATTTGAGAAATTAGAATGGAATTAGGCTTATTAAATAAGTTAAATGGTTTGATTAGGTTTTTCTGGGTTTTCCCTAATCCCGAGCAGCAAATGCTGGACCGTTATTGTAATTTTCCCCAGAAAACACACACATAAGGAAAGCGGGCCTATTTATGTTTTACTAGGTTTAAGTTGTATTACACTTTTAGTATAATTGATCAAATTTTTGTGGTGGCGTGTTGGATAAACTGATATTCATATCAGTGAAACAAAAATTAATAAATTAAACTTTGATTATTAGCCTATACTTATCGCAGCTATGGATGACTGAATGTGTTTATAATAGTTTTTATATGTAAGGTAAACAGATTAGGAATCGTTTACTTAAAGAAAATTCTTTGTCTCGATGTTGAATCAGTTCGTATAGTTATTTCTATGAGTTCACACGCTCTGCTTTCCACGCTGTATTCGATATAATAAATATATTGAATATCGATAATTAACAAGTTCTTTTATTTCTTAGTCCATTTCCCAATAAAATTGAGGTGTATAATTTCATATATGTCCAAGCTTTTGGCACCGGTAATATTTTAATCAGTTTTTCGGTGTTGATGTTTGTCTGGAGTCATTTCCCGTTTTTCTGCCTTCTCGTAATAGTTTCTTTATTTCCTTATTTCCTCCATGAAATTACTCATAACAGTTTTTCTGGATTTTGGAATCTCCGATACCATCAATGAAAGCAGATACTGCCATCCATTCTTGCATGTCTTTCCCAGCTGCAGAAAACGCCAAACTCACTAGCTTTTTAACTTCTGATTCGAATTCTTGTAAACTCTCGAAATTTGAAACTCTTCAAGCCTATAAAAAAAGGTTATAGTATCTTATACCAAAAATCTCAAGCTGATTCCTTTGAAATTAAAAAAGATCCAAAAACTCCGTTGCTGATGGTTGTTTGGAGTCTACAATTTTTTGATACCTTTTTTCCTATGTAATTTAAATGCGCCTTTAGGCTTTTATTATATATTTAAGCTAATTTATTTAATGATACTGTAATTTACACCTAAGTCATTATCCGCCATGATTGATGAATCTATTGGCCGAAAATATACCGCATTAGGTGAATTAAGCCTTCGGCTATGGATGGAAATTTTCCTTTGCCTTTTTCTTAATCTTGAACTATATGATACACATGTAATTAGATGGAAATTTTTGAATAATGTTGTATGGTAGACAATCATCAGTACATAAAATATACTCGCTAACAAGCGATTAACAATAATTTAATAGATAATGTCCTTCGATTGGCGTGGTGTTTCGCGCCTGGGCAAACTTATCTCGCCTATTATAATAAACACGTACGTTTTTCAGTTTCACACCACACAACCAAAGTACCTCGGCCGGTTAAATGTAGGTTTATTATAAAAGGCTAAACAAAATCGTGAAGCCAGATAGGATCGGCGGCAGAGCAAAAGTTCTTGTGCCGTATACGTATTGAAAACCCGTTATCGGATCGTCGCATCGGGGGCCCCCCCTGATGTGAAAAGCGGTGTTAATTTTGGGGCCCCCTTCTTTTATCTTGCCACAACAAGTGTTGCTTTTTTTTTTTCTTTTAGGCTCGGGCTTCGGAAATTATAATTAAAATTTTTCTTCGAGATTTATCTCTTTGGAAAAAATTGTATGGTAAACATCGCTTCGGATGATTTATGGTATCAAACGCCTCTCAGAGCGATAAATTTATGTGATGGAAAGAGAACTAAGTGTACCTACTATACAACCTCAGATCAGCAATGTTTTACTATATTTATGGCAAATTTTTGATTGTTTGCAGACGAATGAACAGAATTATCAAACATATAAGGAAAAACTTCTCAAGAGTACATTGAAGAAAAAAGCAAATTCAACTGTTAATCCCAGTTTAATTGGATAGGTCAGCCAATGACATAGCTGCCAACTTACCTACTTGGTCCAAGTTATCATCCAAGTTCAATTGGACCGTGTCAACCTGGCTTCATCCAAGTTCAGTTGAATAGGTCCTAAGATTCAAGTAACCTCTGCCAACTTGCTCCAAGTGTCATCCAATCCAAAAGTGCACTTGGACGAAGATCAATCTAACAAAAACTATTCAATTTTCGAAAATAACTTCATTTGAGGTTTGAACCGACTCAACTCTACCAGATAAGATAAGGTTTATAATGAGCAATTCAATTTTCCCACTTCGAGATGAGTTTGGTCTTTTGTTGTTTCCAATATTTACTAAAGCTAGAATATCTTCATTTCATTCAAAGTAATCATCAACATCTGGCAGAAGATGATGATGTCAAAATACCTTCCCACGTACAAATGGTCAAGCTCTCTATAACAATTCACTTCGGCCTTACATAATTTCTCCCCGATAGAGACACCATATATACAAAACGCTAGTCTTTATCGGGCCACAATCGGCCCCAGCTGAGCTGAGTGAGAATTCTTGACGTCCCGTGTATACCCACACGAATTACCGATACAATACAATCTTATTAATACCGACCTATCTTATCTTACTAATAACATCTGCATTTAGTGTACATACCAGGGAAGTTGTATTAATTATTAATGGATGAGAAAAGAAAAATAATTTTTACATCACATTACATTAGAACTTGAAATAGCAGATTTTATTATAAGTTCAAATTAAATTTATAAAAAATATTCTTTTGTTAATGTCCCGGTAGAAAGAGGCATAACTTATCTGATTAACAAGATTGGGTTGTAATAGAATCGAACCGCGTAACCGATACCGATCGATTAGAGCGCTCCAGGGCGACCGATCTTGATAAGAGACAATCCGATCAGATTAATAAGCAATTACATCTGTTTCAGGTAAAAGGATAATTAAATTGTGGCTGAGGTTTGTTTCAAAACGATTCTTTCTACTCTAAACACCTTCACTCTATATCTATTATGAAAACCGTCACTTTGCCTAAGATTTATTGCTCCAGTAATTATACGAATTGGTGTTAGTTGATTTATATCTTATTAGAAACAATTTTTACACGGAAAAATTTCTTATCGGATTGATTAAAAGCAATTTTTCTGAGTATAGGTACGGGTTCACCAAACATCCCTGAGGGTTCAGCAAAGGCAAGAGACCTGAAATCACTTCTCCATCGTGCTAAGCGGCCTAATTGAACTTTGAATTATAGCGGTCGAGCACGCCCAGCCGCGGTTTCTCGCCACGATGGGCGAGCTCCGCCTACCTCCCACGGAAGATAACAACCGCGAAGAAGAAGAAGAAGAGGCGAAGAAGCAAATGGTGTTGGGTAATGGTGATCGGGCGACGCTTCCTTCTTCAACAATGCCGCAGCAAGTCTGTAATTGGTAAGAGAGAGGTGCTGTTATTGCTCGGGCACGTTTAAACGATTGCCCAGTTGTTAAGAACGAAAAAGGGTGTGAAATATTTATTGTCAGATGTCCTAATAATTTCGTTTAATGGCGTAATTTGAATTGCGGTGAATGTTTTTGAACAATATTACATGATAAATTCCTGGTGATGGACAATACAAACAATATCACCCTGGAAAAATGTATGGTACTAACTTTTATTACCTACTTATCAAGTTCTGACATCTATCTCTAGTTCCTATAATGATCAACCAGTCACTTATTTTTAAATGTATGCTTCTTCTTGATTGCTTTTTGATATCCACATTCTCTGCCCCTTCTATTTGTTCTCGTAAATGTTTACTTATCAAAAGTTGTCTTGGATTTGTCCACCATGGATTAAGAATTTCCAAATTTAAAATCGGTTCAGTGACAAGAGGTTTATCTTTTATAATCATTTGATGAGAGATTTCTTTCACTCGTGGACTTTTATATGGTCTTCTTCATCCCAGTTTTGGTCTTCTTCGTTTTATTCTACCTGTTGGTTGCCAATGCAGCATTTTTCTGGGTCACCTAGTATTTGGCATTCAGTCTACGTGTCCGTAAGCTTATTTGTTTCCTTTCAATGTCCAGAACTATCGTGCCTTCCATGCCCATTTGTTGTTTTATATGGTCATTCCTTATTCTCTGTCCGTAAGATTTGCATGGATCTTCTTATAGCATAAATATAGCATCTATTTCAATTACTCCTACTTTTTCTTTTGTCTCTCTGTAATTCTCCAAGTCTCGGCTCCATGTAGAAGACTGCTCTTTACCATTGTCTTGTATATATTGAATTTTCTCTTCTTTGTTATTTCCTTGTTCCATTAGATTCCATTGAGGCATCCTATTACTATTCGCTTTCCTATTTATTTCACATCTGTTCCAGTGTTGTCGAATGTGATACCTAGATACTAATATTACTGAAATTGCAGAATTTCCTGACCATCGTCCCTTCCAAGTTTCCGTTCTGGGTGCCTACACAGATATTTTGTTTTATTTATATGCTTTCAGGCCCCATTTTTGGTACTCTTCTATCGGGTTTCTAATCATATATTGCATGTCCTCTTTGTCACTGGCCACTATGACCTGATCATCTGCAAACTAAAAAGTAAAAAGGCACCTATCATTTATCTCTATAGACTCTATACCCATTCCATGGATCTTACTCTTCCAATTTCTTACTGCTACTGCTACGTATATTTTGAAAATAGTAGGAGAGATACAACATCCTTGACGTGATCCTTTATTCACTATAAATGTGTCTGTGAGTTTTTTACCTATCTTAATTCTTGATTTTGAGTCTTTATATAGTTCTTCAAGTGCCGTTATATAGGTGCGATTGATGTTTGTGTGTTCTAATACCTTCCATAGTCTGGATACTGGGACTGTATCGTAAGTTTTTTGTAGGTCCACAAATGTGAAATGGGTTTCCAAATGTCTAGCAGATCTCTTTTTTATGACTTGTTTTAGGCAAAATACTTTGTCTGTATCTGATCTTCTTGCTCTAAATCCCCACTGCTCTTCTTCTTCTTTCTCTTTATAATTTTTCTCAATGAGATTACGCAGGATTCTACCGTATAGTCTGCTCAGTGTGCTTATGACTAATATGCCCCGATAGTTATCTCAGTCTGACTTATTTCCTTTTTGTGAATGTATGATATAAAAGCCGTTTTTTAATATTGTGTAACAGGATGTCCATTTAGATATCAAGTATATATTTCTATAAGGAACTATACGACGCAAAAAGCAACAAGGAAAATAACATACAAGAAACATCCAAAATTCTAATGTTGGGTCAGAAGAGATCCCTAACAACGGAAAAACGCCAAGAATGAATGATATACTATACCAGAAATGCTGAAGGAGACAAGGGAATACCTTGTAAAATAACGTCTGGGAGACTGCTATCGTCGTCTGAAAAAAAGAGACCTATCAAATCTTGGAAACTAAAGACCCATAAGCCTTCTCTGTTATGAGAATAATCACCAACTACCTAGAAAGGAAATTCGATGATTACCAACCTAAAGACCAAGCAGGCTGAAACACTATAGAACATCTTCACAAAATAACAATACTTAATGAAAAGACGACCGAATATAACATTACAATATGGCTATAGCATTCATCGATTTCACCAACTTTATTAACATGTCATATCTTCCTGTTGGGCTTGTTGTAAATCCTGATATTCTGCTGTATTTTTCAGACTTGCAATAATCTTTAAAAAAATTCCATTATATAAAGATCTTCTGTTTCAATAGACAATGGAGTTCTGCTAGAGCATCGAGCATCGAGTCCATTAAGTTCTTTCCCAAAAATAATGTATGTAACAAAATAATTGTGGGTAAATTGGAAGTTCCATTCTAAAATTTTGTTGTAATCTTACACAGGGAATTCGTTAAGACTTTTTTTTTTTAATTTCCACTAGAAACCTCATGATCTATTTTCAAATGGCGTTCTTATATAGTCCATTTGAAAAAGAGACAGGCAAAACCTGTACAAGGTGGTTCTTATATTCTTTGGAACTTTTAAATAAGTTCAAAATACATCTAGAGGTTTTCTTTATTCGACCTGTCTAGTTCTACGTGTTAGGCTCTTTAAAGTCAGAATACAATAGTAATCCTTCAACATGTATCTAGCTAAACTGACCAGATCTTAAAAGTCCAGAAGCGGGACAAAGTCACAAAGTTCTCGAAAATCTCGTTTCCATTTTCGGTTCAGTTTTTTTGGGTACCTGGGTAGTGATAAATAAAATTACTTATGTAGTTATACAAAATATGTAAAATAACCTGTTCATGAACAAGTGAGTTTCACTCATTAAGTAGTTCAAAAACTTACACATTCTTGAAAAGCTTATATTAATGAATGATTTGTTGCGGAACTTTACTCGTTACTTCTAGAACTATAGCATATCAGTCATTAATGAGCTAGCTGTTCAACAACAAGAGAGGTTTTTGAGTTGCTTAATTAGTGAAATTCACTCGTTATTGAACAGCTTATTAACACTCAAAATAATTTAGTGTATATAGAGTTTAGGGGATTCCAACTAATCATATAAACGCAAAATCTCGACATGAAAAAATCTTATGATTTGGATTTTTAAAAACTTTAATTTTTTCTATTATAGATAGAAAGCTGAAATTTTCAGCGATTCTCATCCCAATAAAAAAGTACAATTCCTGAAAATTTCAGCTCATTTGGACTTATATCATATGATGATGTATCATTTTCTGTTATTTTAACAGCAACGTTAAGTTGTCTGTCACTGTTTATTCTATACGTCAAAATAGAGAGAAGTATAGATGTTGAGCTATAACATAGCTGTTAAAATAACAGGAGAGGATACATCATAGGCCTGTAGTTCCAGAAATAAAATCGTGTTAAGAATTTGGGGTGATTTATCAATTTTTCAATTTTTCTGAGTGCCTCTTTTCATAGAATCCGGCTCCAAATCTCAGTGAGTTCTTACTCATTCAGAAGTTCAAAAACTTATTCGTTCTTGAACAACTTTGAATGGTTCCAGAGGGTCTAAAAATAAAGGTAAGGAGTGAAGTTTTATTCATTAAATAAGTTTACCTCCTACGCATGTATTTGAGATTTTCTTGTCTTGTTTTCTACTGAAGATCGACGAAGTTTCAATATAATGAGCTCCCAATTACTTTCGAAACATCAAAAAAGGTACCTTATTGAACATGAACCTGTGGATTTAACCACAACTCTTAAACCTTCTCAATTTAGGTACTTATGGAAAAATTACTTCGGGCATATTGCTATTGTCGCGGCTTTGGGTTGCCTGCTGACAAAAATCTTGGGTTCGTTGTTCCTTTCGTTTATTCCAAAAATCAAAGTCCAATTAACACAGCAATAATTTATTCCACTTAACAATACACTCTGACACTAATTACTTTAATAACTAACTCAACAATTAAACTTTACAACTCAATAATCACTATTTAACTCGTAACACAGTCAAACTTTTAACTAACTACAAAGCAATAGCCGCATTTATATATCCCTAAATCTATTCCTGTAAAATCTAGAATACACACGATAATCTTTTTTTCCCGAATTAAGTAGAATAATTCACTAGATTCTAGTATACTCAAGGATAATACCGAGAGATTCTTGACAGCCTGGCGAATCATCACACTATTAACAATTCAATCGCCCTTTTGTGAATCCCCTCAAACTTTGGCGCCATCTCGGAGCAGTTGTGTATAGCTTTGATGGCCAAATTATTTGGGAAAAATTTAGAAACTTATTTTGGTTCCTCAATTATTTCAATTTTGATGCCTTTTCAATGTAATCAAACTAAATGAGTTATATTTCCGATTTTAGGGTTTTTTGCGATGGGACTTACATAAATATGAATCCCCTACAGGTGGCACCATCTCGTGGCAATTGAGTGTAGATTCTTAAGCCAAATCGTTTCAAAATGATTTCGAGGCTTTTTTGTAACAAAATAATGTTAATTTTAATACTTTTAACGTGATTAGTGAATAATTTAAGTCAAATTAGTCGTTTATTCTATTTTAAGCTATTTAAAGTTCATGTAATACCCCCAGCGCCATCTCTTGACAGTTGTGTGCAGCTTTATTGACCAAATTATTTGGAGGCTTATTTTAAAACAAAATTATGTTAATTTTGATGCATTTTAACGTAATCAGGCTCTACTATTTGAAGCCAAATGAGTTATTTATGTGATTTTAGGCTCTTTTGCAAATAGCGCTCCCTAGTGGTCCTCACTGTAACTGAACAGATTCGCTTGTGTAATATTAAGTACTTTTGAGTACCTACCTCCAAGTACTATAGTATTCCTCTTACTGTAACTAAACAAATTCTCACCTAATTCTCAGATGCCGCTTTTGTAGACTTAAGTACTATTAAGTGACTGTAGTAACTAAACAAATTCCCACACGAATGTTAAGGTTTGTTTGTTCGTATGTCGCACTAACTTGAACTGAGTTGTAATATTTCAGATTATGGTAGATATAACCATAATAACATAACACAAACGAGCGCCTCAAAGCAGGAATTGCTGCTCCAAACAACACAAACAAACAAACCTTTAGATGTCGCTCATGTAGACTTAAGTACTTTATTGAAAGTACTGTACTAATTTATTTGTTATTTCAAACAATCTGGCTCAAATCCCATTGAATAAAAATCCAATTTACTTTTTTCAACATGGAAAGCAAAGCAAAGAAAATCTAATCTGCCTGTGATATCGATCCACTATAGTACTACAATCAAAGCTCTCTACTAATCCTTACTCAAACTCTCACACAAATCATTAGATGTCGCTCTTGTAGACTTAAGTACCTTTTAGTACTTAAAAAGTACCATCTTAATTTATTTGTTACTTAATTTGGCTTCAAATTCTACTAAATAAAAATCCAATTTACTCCATTTAAGGCATGATGGAAAGCAGAGGAAACCTGATCTGCCTGTAATGTGATGTATCCACTACTAGTGGTACCGTTTTCATTTGAAGTCGCTGAACCTGAGGAAATCTACACCTGTACTAGCAGTGTTGCCACTTGTTACGATTTTTATGTATAATTCTTAATAATTTTGTATCGCCCATTAATGTAATATTTTTAGGTAAGAATGTCTGTGGCAACAATGGATCGCTTTTTAATTATTGTTTTAAGCCAATGATAGGGGGGCCAGGTGAACGATTTCAGCAGATTTTACCTTTGCTTGATCATTGATGAAGCGTATTTGTATTTATCAGAAACACTTTATTGTTTAGATTAGATATTACGAGAAATTTTGTGAAGAAGGCTAGTTAGTTCAAAGAAAGACAATGTCAACAGATAGATTTCACAAGTAAGTATCGCTTTTCTTTATTATAATAAATTAATAATTGGCAAATTAGAAATAATTTATTAGAATTTTCAAATTTTAGACAATACCTACTTTGGCCATCTCTTATCTTATGTAGGTAATACATTATCTGAGATTATTTTGATACAAAAGGCGGATAAGGGGATTAATTAATGGGGTACTTGATGCAAAATAATCAATTTCGATTATTGTTCTGAGAAATATTATTATTTCTTCCGCATTACATATTAAATGTATTATTAGAATATGATGAGACACCAATGATTTGCATCTCATCTGATATTATACATCAACAGGGTCCTTATTCTTGAGAAAACGAAGGTTCTGTGTCTTCGTCACTTATATTTATATTTCCACAACACTGACAAAGACAGTAGAGTAATCATTTTCATATGAGAACACTATTTCCTGGTTTCGAGAATGTTCAATCACATTACGGAGCACTGGAAATTATCCTGAGCAGCTGAAGTATGATCCAATTGTAATTAAGAAACAGTTAGACTCAGTTTTACAATTGATGGTAACCTTCAAACTATAGTTGCAGGTTAACCACAAGTTCGTAAAATGACACATTATGAAACAAATATATTATAGGGTACCAGTAACTTGTAGTTTGTGAAACTGGCCCTTAAAGTAACTCAGTAGAAACCTTCAAATGAGAAATGATCAAATGTAATTAAGAAAGCGTCACATTTAACGTATTCTCAATTACATTTGCCGCTTTCTTAATAACATTTGACCATTTCTCATTTGAAAGTTTCAGAGTTACTATAGGGGCCAGTTTCACAAACAGCGGTAACTCCAAGATACTGGTAATCTACAATATATCTGTTTCATAATGTGTGGTTGAGCCAGAAACATTGGTCAAACATCAGGAAACTAAAGTCAATTCAGAAAGCATCAAATGAGACTCAGAAAAGGTCATATGAAATTGAGAACTTTTCAAGATATTTTGAAAGTTTCCAGTTCTAAGTTGTTTCCAAAAGTTTCATTTGATTTGTAGGGTGTTCCAGAATAGTCTTGGAAATTTTAACCAATCTAAACCTGAACTTTCAAGTATCCCAAGCTTTCTTGAATATTCCAATGTTCCAATTTGTCTCAGACAAATACAGTAAGATTGGAAATTGAATTGAAACTCTTCTGAAGCTTATCAAAGTTCTAAATTGCTCTAGAGAGGAAACTTTCTCTCATTTTCAGGAAATGTATCTTCCTATATGATTGAAAATAAAGAAATTATAGTATGATTATTGATCTCTCCTTCTTTTCCACTAGATTTTATACTCTTAGTGATGTTAGTTTTGGCTCTCACTGACCTTATTGTAAAAATTTTAGAGCTGCAAAAGACGGAGTCCTAGAAATCCTAAAAGAAACAACCAGCAGAGACTGCAATGGACGAGACGAACAAGGAATGACCCCAACCCTTTACGCGGCCTTTTACGGAAATTTAGAGGCTCTAAGACTATTATGCGGTAGAGGGTGAGTATTTAATTTATTAGCAACAAAAATTACTTAGCTGAAATTCTAGAGGAGATCCTGACAAAGCAGATTTATTCGGCAATACAGCTCTACACTTGGCAGCAGCCCAAGGCCACATGCGCATAGTAACATTTCTTGTCAATTTCGGAGCAAACATCTACAACACCGACATAGACGGTAGAATCCCTCAAGAATTAGCCGGCATCAACGGTAGAGAAGATATTTTGCGATTCCTTGACGGAGTCACTGCCAAACTAGAAGCCAGCGACAAAAGGAAAGTAAAAGCGATGAAAGAAAAAGCAAAAGAAAACGCAAAAAAACGCCTAAAAAACTACAACAAGCACAAAGCCAAAACGGAACAAATCGAAAGAAGACAAACTAAAGAGTACAAACCTTCAATGATCAACACAATAAAAGCCCGAATTAAAAGTGGCTCGATGTCAAACTTATCAAACCTACCCCCTGAAAGACGCAACACTTTCAGTAATCTTGTTATGGGAGGCACAGTAAAAGGTACAAAAACAATGGGCACAGTCCAAAGAAGAATACTGGCCAACAAAAATAACGAATTCAAAATATCCACAATCGAAAATGGGAAAACCTCGATATCGAAAGTCACAGGCATCAGACGAGATTCTGAAGTTATTTTTGGGGGGACTTTGCAAAAGTCCGCCTTTGAGCCTCACCAAAGGGGTCGTTTAGATGGGCTTTTCAATGAAGCTGAGCAGTTGAATAGTAAACCAATTCCACCGCCGATGATTAGAAGCATTTCGCAGCCTGATTTTTTGGCTGAGCTTCAGAAGAATGGAGACAAGCCTTTGCAAGAGAATTCTAGTATTTTTATACGGCCTGGTATGGGAAGTATTGTAATTAGGTAAAATGATTTTTTGTTTGTGGGGCAATAATTTATATAGTTTTTTGCAGGAAAAGTTTGAATTCTTTTGGCTCGTTTTATCAAAATGGAAGTCGACCAGAAGAAAGTTCTATTGGGTCTGGAGAAAGCTATACGCAAAGGATTACTACAGATGATGAACTTTCAGGTAAAAACCCAACTTATTCATTCATTCAATTGACTCTTGGGTTTTTTTGATTTGTGAATCTCGACTTACTTCTACAAATCTGAATTTCTTTGATTTTTATTTTTCCTGGATCTTAGATTTTTCCTTACCTATTCTTTTATTCTGGACTGCTGGCTCTGTAATTTTTGTAATTCCTTTATTCTGGACTTTCGAATTATCTTAATTCCTGGCTTTTGAATTATCATTATTTTTCCATTCCAGGCTCTTGAATTTTCAGCAATTTTCATCCTTGTAAAAGACAAGAATCCCTGAGAATTTCAGCTCATTTGGAAAACTTTGAAAGTCATAACTTTTTTTCTATTACAGATGGAAACCTGAAATTTTCAGTGATTCTTATTTCAGTAAAGGACTACAATTCCTGAAAATTTCAGCTCATTTAGACTTATGATTCCCGAGATCAAATCGTGTTAAGCAATTTGGATGATCATAAATATTGAAAAATTTCAATATTTATGAGTGCCTTTTTTCATAGATTTCGGCTTCAAATCTGAGAATCATTTAATGTATGGAGTTTGGGGGTTCCCAAATGACCATTAGGACACAAAATCTCAACAACAACAAAAACTGAAATTTCATCGTTTTAGTAAGAAGGTACCTACCTTATGATTTAGATTTTGAAAAACTTTGAAAGGTCATAATTTTTTTTCTATTATAGATAGAAAGCTGAAACTTTCACTGAATTTTATCTCTTTCAAAGGACTACAATCCCTGAAAATTTCAGCTCAATTGCACTTATAGTTCCTGAGATAAAATCGTGTTAAGCAATTTGGGGTGATTTATCCATTTTTCAATTCTTCTGAGTGCCTTTTTTTATAGATTTCCGCTCCAAATCTGAGAATAATTTAGTGTATAGAGTTTGAGGTATGTTGATTGACCATAAGGATACAAAATCTCGACAAAAAAAAATTTGAAATTTCATCGTTTTAGTAAGAAGGTACCTTATGATTTAATTCTGGAAAACTTTGAAAAGTCATAACTTTTTTTCTATTATAGTTAGAAAGCTGAAAGTTTCAGCGATTCTTATTCCAGTAGAGGACTACAATTCCTGAAAATTTCTGCTCATTTAGACTTATAGTTCCCAAAGTTTTTCATCTTTGGCCCCGACATTGCTTCACAAAATCACTCATAGCTCAATTAATATCTCATAAACTCTAATGCATATTTATATATTCTTAATCGGAATTAAATGCTCTTTAAGATAAACTAAATATGAATCATTGATTTCAAATATTTTCCAGGATATTTAGCCTCAAAGTTGAAACTTTGGAAAAAATCCATGCAAAGTACAATTATGTTTTAGGTGGTGAAGATTCTGAAGATGAAGACCCCAACGCCCCAATCCAAAGATTTCTGACAGCTTTCGGCCTTGGCGACTACCTTTCCCGATTCAACGAACAAAAAATCGACTTGGAAACTTTACTTATCCTAACCGAAGCCGACCTCAAAAGTCTCAACTTGCCACTAGGCCCTTATAGAAAGCTGGTAAACGCAATCAACGAAAGGAAGGCTGCTTTTGAAAGTCCCGGCGAAGTCATTGATAGTGCTTTGTAAAGCTAAATAAATATTTTTAGGTTTCACAAGATTTTTATTAATGAACATCAAAGAGTAATTAGTAATACAAAAACAAAAATTATTAAATACTTACTTATTCCTGACGGCATAAAGTAGCATCTATTTGTTTCAAAGAAGGAGCAATTAAAGTTAGTTTTCTACGATACATTGGATCAGCTGCTACAGGGTTGCGTTCTAAATACACAGTCGCCAGTTTGCTGTGAACTGCAAGATTGTTAACAGAGTTCCAGTCTGTTATTGCGTTGTCGTTTAGCTGAAAATCATAATTTAGTAGCAGTTTATTAAACAAGTTTTAAGTTGTTTTACCCAAAATTCTTCTAAACTCTGCAAGCCTTCAGTGTTTTCTATAAGACTTATTTGGTTTTGGGCCAAATCAAGTGTCTGTAGTTTTTTTAAGTTGTTTAGGTTTTCAATTTTACTGATAGCATTCTCAGAAAGGTACAATTCTGTTAGGTTTTCTAGGTTGTCGAGGTTTTCTATTTTAGTTAGCCTGTTACTTTGCAGGCTTAAGCAATCTAGATTAGTTAAATTATCCAAATTTTTGATTTCAGTTATTTTGTTTTTGCCCAAAAATAAAAACTTTAACGAAGTAAGGGTTTCTAGATTTTCAATTTCCTAAAAAAAAAATACTTATTCCTATAATTGAAATAATTATTAGCTTTGTTCCAAGCCAGCAGGGTGTCAAGTTATGAAGTACCACCCTCTGTAACTTTTTTATTTTTGATCCCACATAAAAAAGTTAGATGGGGTGGTACTCTATGACTTGACACCCGGTACATTTCGTGCGTAGAATCCAAAATTCATGTACAGAGTGACTTTTTTAATGGGTTGGGTTGGAACAGACCTAATTATTCCAAATTGAACTTCTTACCCTTAGTTTGTTATCTCCAAGCTCAAGAAGCGATAGTTTACTTAAATGGCCCAAGTTTTGTATTTTGCTTATTTTATTAGAAGACAAAAATAGTTTTTCCAAATTCAACAAGTTCTCAAGGCCTTCAATTTCACGTATTCTGTTGAATGATAAATCTAAAATCCTGTTTAAAAATTAGTCTTAATAATACAAATATTGCCTCTATTCGTACTCTAAGTTCACCAGAGCCTCTAATCCCTCAATTTTAGTAATTTGGTTATCATAAAGCTCAAGTTCTTTGAGTGTAGTTAAAGTGCTGAGATTTTCAATTTTGGTGATCAAGTTCCATCTAAGAAAAAGTCTCTCGATTTGGTGCAGGGGTTCTAGGTTTTCGATTTTGCCAATTCGGCCGTGGTTCAAATCGATTTCGGTTGATTCTGGGTCTAAATCTATTATTTCGTTTATGGTTAGTTCTCTATGAGGAGGTTCAGTTGGAACTTGTTGGGTATCAGAAGACTCTTGTTGGGCATCAGAAGATTCTGCAATTTCAATGCCTTAGCAGAAGTATATGACTCATTTTACTTATGAAAGTTTACACAAGTTCTTATAACTGTATTTTTAAAGTAAATAATCTGGTTTTACCTGGTTCTTCTGAATGGTTGGGTTCTTTCATTGAAACTGGCATAATGGTAGGTTTTATGGAAAATCAAATTTCAGCACACAAAAACAAAGCAGGATCTTCTAAACCTTGGAAAATTCAAATTAGCACTTTTCTTTTTTTTTAAATTATTTTTTCTCCCACTTCCCTGCGTCATTATTGTCATTTATAGGACTCGATCACGATAAATAGAATTCTATTTAATGACCTGTTCTAGAAAAACATATGTTTATCTCTTTCTAATACAAGGTGGTAGAAAAAGACACGAATATACTCAATTTGCATTTCCCCTCCCAATAAATTTCGCTATAAATGACGTTGTTTAACCTTTAGGGCGCTGTTGCCGCTGTTACATTATTTTATTTGTACCCATTAATTTTTTGATTCAAGAGCCAGGAATAATCAAAAATGGAATCTATTCAACTGTTAATAGTAGCATTTTTAGATGGCTAGTTTTCCTTAAACAGTGCGCAAAGGTATGTTTTTCCGCACGCCAAAGCAGTTAGATAAAGGACGCGAAGTATAGTCGGATATGGGTATTCTAAAGTGCGAGAAAATATTAATGTTATTCAATAATAATAACTTTTTTTTCTACTAACCTGAGAAATAGTAATTATTCAATGAATTTTTTTAGGAAAAAATTGAATTTCTCTCCCTAGGTTAATAATGGAAATAATGAAAAAATACCTAGGTCAATAATGAAAATGACGTCATGATGCAAGGATATTGTCATGTTTCTATTGGTCCAATTTCAATTTCATACCTCAATTCAAAAAAAATACAGGTTTCTGTAGGTACATATAGGAAGTTATCATAAGCTGTTGTTAGAGGGCAGCACTTTCAAAATGGCGTCCAAAAAAATAATTAAGAGCACAGATTTTGAATATTTTCTTTATTTTCTACTAGTAGTAGTAAAAAATAGTATATTATATACCTAGGTAGAGAAGTTGGTCATTATATACCGAGGCGCGCAGCGCCGAGGTTTATAATGCGTGAGGTATATAATGACTTTCTCTACCGAGGAATATATAGAATTTTTTTTACTACTGCTAGTAGAAAATAAAAAAATTTGTTTAAAATCTGTGCTCTAATTATTTTTTGTGAACGCCCTCTTGAAAGTGCTGCCCTCTATCAACAGCCTATATAACTTCCTATGTACCTACAGAAACCTGTATTTTTTTTCAATTTGACGTATGAAACTGAAATTGAACCAATAGAAACAAGACAATATCCTTGCGTCATGACGTCATTTTCATTATTGACCTAGGTATTTTTTCATTATTTTCATTATTAACCTAGGGAGAGAAATTCAATTTTTTCTTAGAAAAATAGATTGAATAATGTCTATTTCTCAGGTTAGTAGTAAAAAAAATTCTATATATTCCTCGGTAGAGAAAGTCATTATATACCTCACACATTATATATAAAAGCGCTCGGTATATAATGACCAACTTCTCTACCTAGGTATATAATATACTATTTTTTCTACTAACCTGAGAAATAGTAATTATTCAATGTATTTTTTTAGGAAAAAATTGAATTTCTCTCCCTAGGTTAATAATGGAAATAATGAAAAAATACCTAGGTTAATAATGAAAATGACGTCATGACGCAAGGATATTGTCATGTTTTTATTGGTTCAATTTCAATTTCATACGTCAAATAAAAAAAAATATATACAAGTTTCTGTAGGTACATAGGAAGTTATCATAAGCTGTTGATAGAAGACACCATTTTCAAGAGGGCGCTCAAAAAAATAATTAGAGCACAGATTACAAATTATTCATTTTCCACTAGGGGCCGGTTTCTCAATAGCAGGTCACCTCCGGATTAAGCTAACTCCAGGGCAAACATTGCAATTTGACACGTTAACCCTGGAGTTAAAACCAACCCGGGGGTGACTCGCTACTGAGAAACCGGCCCTTGCAGTAGTAAAAAAAATCTATTTTCTCGGTAGAGAAATTCATTATATACCTCACGCATCACATATTATAAACCTCAACTATTTTAGGAAAGCCCTAAACGATAAGTATTCCCCAAAATGACATTTTTACATGGAGAAATGTCAGTTTAAGACATAGGGCTTCCCTAAAATAGTTGGTGGAAATGGCCATTAGAAAAATTAAGAAGAAAACGAAAATTCAAGATCCGGGAATAGACAAAATATGAGATGGAAAAATTGAAAAATAAAGAATAAATAAATATATATTTAGATAATAAGATAATAAGAATATTAATAATAATACCAGAGTAAACATCAAAAAATTTGCAAAAATATGGCGGCAGGGGCGTGGCTAACTTCTATTATTCATATTCAAAATTTGCAAGAATATGGTGGCGGTAGGTACCGAATTTCTATTTGAAAAGGTGAAGTCACTGTAGGTGTGCCGGGACCATTGGAAAGGGTTGAAAAGGAAACAACCAATCAAATACCTTGACGATACATAAACCCAGGAAAGGGGCGGGGCTCAACTAACCAATTAAATGCCCTGCTGATATCACTCGCATCTGATTGGAAAGGGGCGGGGCTTATATCCAACCTATTAAATGCTTTGTTGATATCCTCGCGTTTGATAACGAGTCAGCCACAGTGTTGCCAGCTTGACGAAATTATCCCCTTTTTGCCTTTTTGAGGAAATTTTCTATTTTCGTTCGCAAAAGGGTAGAAGCGGAAAGCGGAATTTTAAAGTCTGTTTTTTTTTTAAAGATAAAAGTCAAAATGAAATTATGTTGGCAAAACAATGTTAAATTGTCGATGCTTTCAAATTTTTATGTAGAGAAGGCTTGTGTTGCCAACATAGTTATTAAAGTTTTGACTTGGGAATTATCTTTAAAAAAAAAACAGACTTTACTTTTTCTTTTATTTAGTCGCAAATTTTTCATATTCAATGAAAAATTGGTAATTTTAAGTTTCTAGCACACGATATACAATATGTATATAGGGTGGGCCATTGTACTTAAGACATTATTGAACTTTTTTTTAAAAAACGCGCCATTTTCGAGATATTGAAATGTCTCAATTTAAATTAACCACCCTGTATAAGTATGGGTACAACATCTCATTCCCGACTGTAACTGAAGGCGCAATAATTGTTTTTTTCCACTATCGCGCGTAAAGTACTTACGTTACGCACCTTTTAGAAGACATAAAATGTCACACACCAGTGCGTAAAGTAGTTTTTTCACTACTAACCTGAGAAGAAGTCATTATTCCATCAATTTTTCTAGGAAAAAATTGAATTTTTCTCCCTAGGTTAATAATGGGAATAATGAAAAAATACCTAGCTCGATAATGAAAATGACGTCATGACGCACGGATATTGTCATAACGTAACAGGTTTCTATTGGTTTAATTTCAGTGTCAAACTGTCAATTTTAAAAAAAGCAGGTTCCTGTATGTATATTATAGGAATTTACCGTAAGCTGTTGATAGAGGGCAGCGCTTCCGACAAGAGAAAATAATTTGAGCACAGGTTTCAAACCTATTTTTTATTTTTTAGTAGCAGTAGTAAAAAAAAATCTATATATGCCTCGGTAGAGAAAGTCATTATATACCAAGCGCTTTTATAAACCGAGGCGCGAAGCGCCGAGGTTTATAATGCGTAACCAACTTCTCTACCTAGGTATATAATTTACTTTTTTTTACTACTAACCTGAGAAGTAGTCATTATTCAATCTATTTTTCTGGGAAAAAATTGAATTTCTCTCCCTAGGTTAATAATGAAAATAATGAAAAAAAAACCTAGGTCAATAATGGAAATGACGTCATGACGCAAGGATATTTGTTATAACAGGTTTCTGTTGGTTTAATTTCAATTTCAAACTGTCAATTTAAAAAAAAAGTAGGTTCCTGTATGTACCATCGTCACCAAAAGTATCTGCGACACAAATAATGCCTAATAATCTCCTGGGCTAATTCTACTGTCATTCATTTCAATCCATTATATTCATAGTTTGACAAATATTTGAAAATAAAATTCATATAATAGGACAAGAGCTAATGTGATGCTGTCTCAGTTACTTTTGGTGACGATGGTACATCATAGGAAATTACCATAAGCTGTTGATAGAGGGCAGCACTTCCGACAAGAAAAAATAATTTGCACAGATTTCAAACCCTATTTTTTATTTTCTATTAGCAATAGTAAAAAAAAATCTATATATTCCTCGGTAGAGAAAGTCATTATATACCTTACGCATAATTACCAACTTCTCTACCTCGGTATATAATGTACTATTTTTTACTACTATAACCTGAGAAATAGTACCTAATTATTCAATGTATTTTTCTAGGAAAAAATTGAATTTCTCTTCCTAGGTTAATAATGAAAAAAAATCTAGGTAAATAATGAAAATGACGTCATGACGTGCCAGATTTCTATTGTTTTTCTAATTGTTTGCGATCGACTACTACCTTCATCTCTTGAAAGGTGATTAGTACTTTATCTATTAACAATTGTGTCTCTTTTTTCAAAAATCGGTACGGTTTCACGGTACCTATAGTCTTTTTAAAGTCAGTTGAAACAAGGTAAAGATAATTTACAACCGGTGGCTGACTGTTGATTGAATACTTTCATAAGAAATGCGCTGCCCACTAGTCAGCCACCAGTTGCAATTTATTTTTACCTTGTTTCATTTGACTTCAAAAAGACTATACCTACTTATGATGGATGAGGTTTGTTCATGAGGTGTCAAAAAAATAGTTAGGGCCGAATGAAATCGCGTTGTGAACCGCATAACAATTTTTGAAACAAACAACAAACCTGAAGTGAGTTCGATCAGTTTGCTCAGTTTGCTCAGATCGAATAAGGATAAGAACACAAATGCTTTTCTCATGAACATTACCACAATTTAACATTTGACCTGAACGGCCATATTAAATCACGTGATCTGGAAGGCCTTATTGAAATGAAACATTTAAATTTCTGAAAGCAAATGGCGGATTTATGGTAGCAATATTTCAAAAAAGTTGCCACATTGCAGATTGAAGAATTCATTGATCAGAGAGAATATTCCGCAGGCATTTGTATCAAATCAAAGAGCCAGGAATAATCAGGAATTGATTATTGACAAAAAATTTAGCTAGTCAAATCAATTCTGATGCCATTTTGTACCTTCTCATAGTTCCGACTGACATAAAACCTCGA